AGGGCTTCACTTCAAGTTGGTAGGAAGAGAGCTGCCTCCTGCGGATGCTGGGCCACGCACAACTGGCCCTGCATATTTGGAGCATGGGAGTTAGCGAGGAGGCTGAAATATCACGCCTATCAGTAGGGCCCTGTGAAGAGAAAATAGCAGAGGATCTGGTGGCAGTTTCCTTTCAAGACATACAGGAATAGCAGCACACATCTCTGCCGGATCATATGGACTGAATTCCTCTACCCAAATCCTTTGGCTTTGAATTCTTCTGCGTTTTTTCTCCTCCTTGGCTTGTTTGTTGTTTCAGGACCACTAAATCACGGAGAATGGTTTATATTATATAACCACCCTGTCCTTATTGCATTTCAGGGAGGAGATTCTGACATACAGCCCGATCTAATTTGTACTTTAAATTGGCTTCTGGGCCAGGCAGTCATGCCTTCCAGATGGGAAATCCAGTTGCACTTACCAGCAAGTATCCCAGTGTGCTTGGATCCCAAATCAGCTTTGTTCCTAGCACTCCAAAGCCTGCTCTGCGGCATGCTTTCCTTTTCTTTTCCAGCTGAAGAGAGGTTGATGGTCATAGCAGTTCCTGGTGAGGCAGCATCACGTTCCACCATCTGTACCAGTTCAGCTGTCAGCCCTGCCTCACTGTCCTGTTATTTTTCCTAGAAGCCTATTCAACAGCTGTAGCTTGATAGCTGCCAGATTCGGGATTTGTCTCCCAGGGTAAGTCCTTTCAGGTTGCCTTTTCAAGGGTGACTCTGCTACACTTGCTCAACCTGTTAAAATTATTTTTGATTCAGGATAGCGTTAAAGTAAAGCTAATGCCATGTCGCTTTCATGCATGCAAAGATTTGCATGGCACAAGATCCTCTCTTCTCCTGCCAGAGCAGAATCAAAGGTTCTTTTGGCCCTGGATTAGGTTACAGCCAGGATCTGACCAGCAGCACGTTATGCATGGGGCACTCCAACATTGCTCACAGCAACAGAGAGCTAAAATGCTGCTGTTGATGGTGACAAGCCTGAGTGGTCACTTGCTTTGAAGGGGGGCCAGTGAGGCAAGGTAGCCACTGTCTTGAAAAAGCCCCACATGCAGCTGGGAGCATGTCTCAGAGCTGTCCTGTTCCACATGTCCACCAGCCCAGGTAAGACACACAAGCCATATCTCACAGCTTGGGGCTGGCCATTTGCTTGTATTTATCCACTGGGGAAACAGCATTCAAAGACATAATTTTCTGCACCATAGACAGATGTGAACCTGCATTTTGTCTGTGGCTTCCTCACCAGTCCCTGTGACACTTCTCATCGTTTTAGCCTTGATCTCTCAAGCCACACACAGTTCTAAAATAACATGGTCTGATAGATAAAACAACAATAAAACCATTTTCCCACCTGTGCCACTATTCTGCTTGGTAACACTGGGAAAGGCCATTCACTCTTTGTATCACCATCCCTCTTTCCCTATCTGTAACATGAAACAAGTGGCTCTACTCCATAAGCTGCTCTCAGATAAAATGCTGACCAGGGTTATCATCTGGGGAAAAAGGACAGATAAAACATCAGCCACAGAACACCTCCAGACAGAATTACCAAAGCTCTCCCTTACATACGCATCCTGAATCTAACGCTGTTTGACACCAGGGCACCAATTAAGCCTGCTGATGCTCACCTCACACATGCCATCATCACCATGGGAAGTGAAGAGTCGTGTTGTGGGATACCTAAGAAGTCCTTCAGGGCAGCACAGAGCAAGGGCCCCTGACTATTAGTGGTCCGTCTGATACCAATAGAAGGCAAGGCACAGCCACCTCACTGCAAGCCTTCTGCAACCTCCTCAAGTTTCTCCACATTTCTAGGAGCTCTCTGCTTAGAAACATGCATGGAATCAAAATGAGATCCTGGGGGAAAGGTTAAGAGTTTAAGAATTAGCTTCCTTGGATTTATCATCTGCGGACAGCCAAAGATTGAAAAGCAGGTGAGAAGATTGCCAGTCATTAGCTGAATGAGCAAGATCACACCTGAAAGCCTTCATGAGAAACCCACACCTAAAAGCCAATGCTGCAGCTTGAAAGCAAGTGGGTGGTTTCTGCCCTGATGGGCAATCAGCACTGCCTTGCACAAGAGCAGGAGCACAGTGGCTGGCAAGGACAAGAGTCAACCAGGCATGTTTCTTGTGCAGGAGAGCTGAGGTGCTGATCAACACATAGCAGAGATGGACATATCTGCAGCCATGTCTCCACCATACAGCACCCACTCATCTCCTGGGTTTCCATTTGCAGCACCACTTCTAAGGACACATATTTAGCACAGTAGTATAAACCACCAGCAAACTGAGTGGCTGCACTTTATAGCCACTTCAGCTCAGGCCCAAACAATTGCAGAGTCCACCGTAGCAACGATTAGGCCCGTATATTATTTTTAAAGCAATAGTTTGTTTTGGTTTCACTCTCTTGCCTGCACCTCTCTGAAACTGCCCACTGTTTGTTTGGGATATTTGCAGGCATGCAGTGTTTTCCCATCCAACTTCACAAGGGACATTGCCGTCTTAGCAGGCTCTGCCTTTGACTCCTGCGCTCTATGGCCAAGTCCTTGGACTCCTTGCAGAGTAAATCAAATGATGTCTACAAAAGCAGATGTGAAAAAATAACATATGCATAAGAACTGACACATTAAACTATGAGCAGTAATTGCAGGTGTGCAGGAGAGTTCCAAGACCAATGCTTATTGCTCCAGTGGATAAAAAAGCCACAAGGACCAGGGACCTACACTGCATACTCCAAGTCAAACCCAGGCAAATTCTTCTCACTTATTGAAAACTGGCACTTTGGAAAACAGGGAATTGCAGTCCAGTGCTTCTCCCAAAATCTTCTCCCAGAGCTTCTCCCAAGCCCTGTTTGATGCTTCCCTCATGCAGGGCTGAGGCCCAGCAGCAGGGACTAGATAGAACTGGCTCCTGAAAAGATGGAAAAATAGTTTCCTGAGGGAAAAGAATAATTAGGCTTGTTTCACTTTGAAGGCTTGTTTGTTGGTGCCTTTGGGAAAAAAAAGAAAAAAGAAAAAAAAAAGGAAAAAACAGTAATGTTTTTGATATTAAAAAAACACCCTTAAATGGAGAAGAAATCATTAAAAACTACATAAAGCAGTTATCCTTGTTGACAAACACTGCTGGCTGGCTGCAGTGCTATGCTTAGACATGGCACGGCATTACTCAGCAGCAACGAGGGCTGTTGCAGATCACCACTGACAGCAGCTGCTGAAAAATCCTGGTCTGGCTTGGAACCCACAACCCCTCCTGCCCCACTGCTTAGACTGTTGTCTGCTATTTGTGTGAATGGTACAGCGTTAGCAGCATACGTGTTTATCTACCTGTTAGTGCCACACACCAGCTCCCACCCCACTGTGCTGAGGAGCATCTTTCACAGACAGAACAAGGCCTCCTTCCCTCAGGAAATCAAGCTGCCTTGTGCTCCCAGACTCACTAGGTCAAAACCAAGATGAATAATCCAAAGAATTAAAGTAACCTTTAAGCTCTAAACCAGCTAATTCATACATAGAGCAAATATGATCCTGCAGTAAACCAGAGGGAGGGATACCTTTCTTGGCATAGCTGCCATCTATGCTCACATCACAATAGCAATGGAATTATGCTCTTTTTGGTTAACTTCTCACTTATCTATTAAACACTCCATAGTCAAAACAGCTTGTCTTGCAAAATACGTTGCAAGCGTCAAAGCAACTTTTCTCCATCTTTCCTTAGACAAAACACATTCTCACTCCTATGAATTAACACCACGAAGGGTTTCCTACATGATTATAGAAAACCATGAGTGAAACCTACGTGGCTCCACAATGAGATGCCGAGTGCTCTGAAACTGGAAACCCACTCAAATGCTTCCCTTTGGCTGAGCCAGGAGCCTCAGGGGTCCCAGCAACCTGAGGTAGTGCTCCAAGGTCTGTCACTCAGAGACAAAACCCACATTTCTGCTGCCAAAACACAGCAAAAAAACAGCATTCTTGCCATTTCTTCAGCCCATTTCCCTTGAGGTGCCACCTCAGCTCCTGAAGGGAGGAGGCGGGAGGGCAGAGCCAAAGCTTGCAAGAACTCTCCGGAACCTTCCGGAAGGCTTCAAAATGAGTCCCCTCAGCACCACCAGGCAAGGAGGATGCTTCCCTGCCAGTTCTCCTCAGTCAGGGGACCCAAAATAAGTCTCCGTGCATGCTCAAGGAGCCATTGCCTTGGGGATCACCTCAGTCTCACAGTGCTTGGCCTCCACCCCAGCTCAGCACCCGACGGGATGTGGGAAGCTGCACACCGCTGGCCCTACCTCTGCCCACAGTTCCAGAAATGGCAGTAATTAAGTTGTAAATGCAGCAATCCCCTTCCAACCCCCCCACCCTGTATGTTTTCACTTCAGCTGTACAGCAGAAATATTTCCTGGCATCTGTCTTCAATTGAGGGCAGGGAGGGAGGTAAACTGATGAAGAGAAGACCTGTGGAAGGGACGTGCTCTTAGAGGTCCCTTGGGGAAAAAGAGGGGGAGGCAAAAAAGAAGAGCAACAGTGCCTTTGATCAACATTTTCACAATGCTGTGTTTGAGGTAGTGAGCATAAGCCCCATTATTTCAGGCACGTGGTCCACCATCCTCCAGTACCAAGCTGCAGGCTGCTTCACTTCTGAGTGCTAGAGAAATATCCTCATCTTCACTTGTGTGTTTCCTTGCTGGAAATCCAACAAGGAGTATCCTCCCCAGAATTAGCAAAGCAGATACCAGTGCAAAAGCCAGAGTGGGAAGAACAAAATGCTGACAAACTCACCACTGGCCTCAGCACAACACTCCTGCCTGGGAAAGCACAGAGGCACCACGTCCCCATTGCTGCCTGCACATAAGCAAGCTGCAGGAACCAGGAGCAGCAAAAAACAATTGTGGGCAAAAATCAGAGACCACTGCAGGAGGAGATAATGATCCACACCTGCTGCATGCTGGGGGAACACCTGGGGCTGGGCTCACAAACCAAGCCCTGGGAGAAAGCTCAGCAGCTGCTCTTTGCTAGCAAGTGCTCACACCATCACAGCCCTGTGCAGAGTTGGCCTGTGCCACATGAGCAATGCACAATAGTGCAGTGAAATATCACCTGTAAGCAGCTCTTGCTCTTATACAAGGCAGTTTCACCTCACTCCTGTTCACTGCGTGCACACAGAGAGTTTATTATCCTCTCTCCATCTGCAAGACATGAGGTTTTCTCTTCAATGTTATAAGCCTTCCAACAGAACCACTTGTACTTTTTTTCATATCCTTGCTGGGACGTATAAAAAAAAAAAAAGCCTCTCAATGCAAAGCTGTTTTCCATGGCACATCCTCCAGACTGCCCTACTCCTTCCCACAAGTTCCAGCTTTTTTCCCAAATCCACCTTGTACCAAAAAACAGCGTTTACTTACACAAGAAACACGTTGTTCCCGCTGTGTCGTGGCCCCTTTGTTAACATACAAAGGTCTTGTGAACAGTGCCTGCCAATTCCAGAGAAAAAGCCAAGCAATTAATGACCAACAGAGCCCCAGCTAATCATTCTGCATGCATTACCTTTGCACAGAAGCCAACAAAGTAATAAAATCACCAGGGCCAGTGTGAACCACTGCATTGCCCAAATGGAATCACCTGCTGCTATGGTATTTCCATAAAACCCTATCCCCTATTCCTCCAGGCTGCTCCACCCCCACCATTTCTTTTCCTGTAGTATGGACTTAAAGTGCAAAAGTGGTCACAGGAGTTGCACTATGTCATAGGAAATATCAGAGTATCTTATCTGGACAGCAGCTGTCATTCTTCATCTCAATAACCTGCAGAAAATCTTAAAATGTATACCCTCTAAACACTAGAATGCACACCAGAGTTAAAAATAATAGCAAAAAGTAATAATAATAATGGGAAGCTATATCCATACCCAATGCTCAGAGCTCTGTCTTACGTGAGAATACACAGAAAATCCTGATTTTGTAATATACATTTTCCAGGTTACTCTAGGTCCCCAGACCCATGACAGAAGGACCTAAGCCCCATCTTTCAATGCAAGCATAGCTCCTTAGCAGATACAACCCTGCATGACCAGTAAGGTCGAGCTTGCTGCCATGCTTCCAGGTGGTCCCAATTAATCCCACGGAGTTAGAGCACAGCACGTAATCGGGAGCTCGCCTGCTCAGTCGGCAACTGGGAGCCCCAGACATGCTGTATTTATCTGTAAATCAAAGTGAAACTAAGCAGCTCTCTGTCCTTGACAGCATTGGTGTGTCTCCCAGAACGTGTTACAAATGATTTTTATGACATGCTATGTGTCTTTCCACGTTGGACAGAGTGTTTATTCAAGGGTTTCTTCTGAAAAAAATATCAGAGTCCATCCAATGTGACCAGAATATATTCAAGAGCACATGCTGTCTTGGATTTTTTTTTTTTTTTGTCCATCAATAGCTATTGTGCTGTTTAAAAAATGAAGAAGAGTTTTGTTAATGGAAAAGCTTTTCAACGCTTTGATTTCTGGGTTTTTCTCCACCCCCTTCCCACCCTCTTTCTTTCTCTGCAAAATGCCACTTGCAATTCACCATCTTTTTGTTCTTGGTGGTTATGCTAAAACTTCTGACCAAAGGCTTCTGGCCAAATTTCGCCCTCAGATATGCGCATTCAACTGCTGGTGAAATTAGTGGTTTGTTTGCGTGCAAGTCGCAGGAAGGAATTTGGCTCAGTCGGCAGCATTTTCCGAGTGGCCACAGAATGCATGCACACCAATTGTTCAGACCCACACTTTGGACAGCATGGCCCAAGGGCAGCCAGATTCCCAGACCCCCACACATCACATACCAAAACACTCATGGTGCTGAACTGCCGAGAAAGCATACCTCAGTGTTGGAGGAAGATGTAGAACATCTGCTTGGCATGCTGGCATGGGAGCTGGCTGCTGGGCTTTTGTCTCCAGGCCACTTTTGTGGTGACAACCCTGCTGAGCTACCTGAAGGAATCTACAGCTAAGGGCATCACAGAGGAAAGCAGGCATTGTGTGTGTGTTACAAGCGTGCATTATCTGCACGTCTACCTGGGGTTCTGGTGCATTGCTGAGTGACACAGCTCACATAGTACCCTGCTTGCTCTCCACTGACTGCAGAGATAGCTGGGTGCCTGCACAACACTACCAGGAGTTATGTCACCATACACCTAAAGCCTCAAATGTTGCATGCTACAATGTGGTGACCAAATTGTATCAGAAAAAAACATGCTTGTGAAGTCTAGTTGTTCTATGCATGCACATTCTCCATGGAGGAGATGCCCTGATGGTGAAATTAGGATGGAGGAAATGACAGTGTTCATGGCTGGTCCCCATGTTTCTCCCACTATTTCAATTAGTGGCAGGGCAGTAAAGAGTTTCAAGAGGAGTGGAAAGCAAAAGAATGAACAAGCCCAATATTGAACTCTTGTTCATTCAGCTAACAACTGAATCTCCACGCACACCATTCTTCAACTAAAAGGATGAAGAGCAAATGCTATGGCATGCCCACAGCGTTTCCAGCCCAAAGGCCTTTCTGGTATTTGTATCCATCTCTGTGCCAGCCTTAAAAACCTCTCCTCCATACTGAGGTACACATGGAGGAAACAACATCCCTGACACAAGACCCAGTTCACATTCTTTTTAAACTGGATTATTCCCACTCATGTATTTTGGGAGACAACGTAAACGTGGTCCAAACTTGTCAACTCATAGAAATTTCCCAGGTACGCCTTTGAACTGAAAACAAATAAGTAATTACCACTTTACAGAAGCCACTTCTTTTTGTCAACGGGGTTGCTTAATGGCTCTCTGCACCAGCAGCTTGTTACAGAAGCACACAGACTTTCTCCTAGGAGAGCTACATAGAGTCTGCAAGCTTCTTTCATCATTCAGATGAATTTTTTGGCCCTTACCCTTCAGTCCATGTTCTGCAACAGTCCCCCCAACAACCATGAAGCTCATCATGGAAAGAATGCTCCATGACATAAGCAAAAGCACTAGAAGTGACTTTGCAAGACTGCACCTGGCTTATAGACATATAGGCATAGCACAAGAGTTTGTTCTTTGACCAGGAAATATTTCTAACCTTCTAAAGTCTGCACCTTCATAAACGTGAGAGTTTTTTGGATTGAACCTTCTCTGTGACATCTAAGTAACTCCCAGCAGGGCTGAAAAAAAAAAAAAGCCCAGCAAACTGCTCAACTAAAAGAACAGAAAATAATTGCTCTCAAAGGAAGAACCTCTCTAGTGTCTTGGCTACATAACACAGTGATAAACCTGAATAAAATTGGTCTGAACTGAAGGACACAAAAGACCTCATTTATTCTTCCTTCTTCATTCCCTGCCATAAAAGCCAGGAAATGTAGTAATATGCCATTTCCAGTGCCATTTCATTCACTTTGTGCCTGAATTATTTTTATTTCCCAAGACAAATGAAGAAGTGTGAGACAAGCGGTCGGCCTTAATTCCAAATTTCCTGCCATTGACCAGTTTAAACCATAGATCTGATGTTGTTAGGACAATATTTTCTTCTATACATGTCTTACTGGTGATGTTAACTACTTACTGTTTATTTCCTACAGCAGCTGGGAACACGGAAACATGTACTGAAAGGGCTGAGTCACCTCTCTGTTGTCTAATGTTAGCATCACAGCCTGGACACAGCTCGGTAAGGATGTTCGTGCCTCCAAAACCAGGAGCTCCTGTCAGGGTGGAGTACAGACCTTCAAAAAAGGAGAAAAAAAAAAGCAGTGAGATATAGTGCCAAATGGGGGAGTGCCAACAAACAGTAAGCATGGATGGACAGTCAGACCTTAATCCCACTAAATGGAAAGCAGATAGCCCTGAAGGGAACTTCTGCTACGCTAGTCTCATCAACCAAACAGTGAGGTTTTCAGCTCTTTGTGGACAAGCAGAGTTTGCAAGGAACAGCGGGAGCCACTGCCACTATCTTCTCCCCTCTTTCTTGCCAGCTGGAAGCAAGCCCCCAGCACAAGCCCCCAGCACAAGCCCGGAGACTCCCCATGGATTCAGTTTGGGTTAATAACATCCACGTTCCCTGGGAGCTAGGGATTTGTTATGGAAACGCTGCCAGAAGAGCTTAGCTTTGGCTCCTCTTCCCAAACAGTCACAGAAAGGCTGCAAAGTGTCCATTGGAACCCTGAGCTGAGTTGAAGACACAGGCAAGCAGGGAGAGATGCACCATCATGGCTGTGGTTCCTGGCAGAGACACGGGGCATCATCAAGCTCTGGTTCTTCAGGGTTAGGACAGATGGAGGGTCTTCTCCCTCCTTCCCTCCACAGTCCTCCTTTCTCAAATGCTCCTTCAGAAAAACAGGTGAAGGATACCTGGGGATTGCTCAGAGGCCATCTCAATGCCTGCTCCACCTCTGCATCTTTCCATGAGCAAGGAAGGTGCCATTTGGGGCTGCTTGTCACCAGCTGAGAGGTAAGCAGAAGTACAAGAAACAATAATAGCCCTTCTATTTTTTTAGGGAAATACAGAAAAAGAAGGATAGGGGATATGAGACTGCCGGCAGGAAACCAAGTCTTAGTGAAGTGAGGTGTAATGAACAGAAAACACCAGTCCATAGGGCTCTCCGCAGGGGATGGTCACAACCCTAATGGAACCATCAGAAAAATATTGTTTTCCTTGCAGTAACACCTCAATACCAATTTACTACAAAGAGGAGAGAACTCTAAAAGAGTGGGAAGTCGCTTCATCCAGTGTTGTTTCCCAGGGACTGCATAAGGCCAGTTCAATTTGCACCTTTTATCACCCTTGCCCGAGTCTTGTTGCTGCTTCGCAGGAGCCCTCTCCCCAAGGCAATAAAACCAAAATTACTGCAGAAAGCATGTCGTGGAAACAGCTCACCTGGAATTCAGGGGAGCTTTGCTGGGGTGAGAGCCACCAAAAGACACTGGTGGATCCATCTGCCCCAGGTACCCAGCTGACCCCAGTCTCAGTAAAGCCCCTCACACAGCACCAGGTGCCCTTCCCATGTGCTGAAGCAGTATGAGCTGAGCTCCTCATTTCTGTGGGCGCCAAATTGCAACCAGAGCATCCCCATGCCCTGCAATCCACTTCCTCCCCTACATTTCCCCACTGCATTTCTTTCCCCTTCAAGAGACCCACTGCAATTTTTTCCATCATTTTTCTTCTCCATTTCTGAAAAATGGGGGGTCCCAACAGCTGCTTGCCTCTCTTCTGCTGCAGCACTGCTGAGGATGAGCTGACCTGCCGAGCACCCCTCTCCCCCCCCCTCCCCCCCCCCAAAGTTCAGAGCTCCTCTCTCCCAGCTTTGTTTTCAGGCAAAATTATGCTGAGTTTCAAGCAAACCTGGGCCAGGCTTCAATTGAGCTTGAGCCAAGTCCTAATTTATGCTGTCAGTGTATTGTTTGGGGTCAAAACCATAAGACACATGGAGGCTTCACTTCATTTTTCTCCAATTTGAAAGCATCTGAGATGTCCCGGCTGCATTTAGCTGCTGGCAATTGCCCTGACCACAACACAGAGCAGGACTCATCTGGGAGCCGAATGAGGGGCTGGGCTGAGCAAAGGGTTAATGCATGGGGCTTCAAGTCTCGCCTGGGCAGTTATTTCAGGGTCATGCTCCCAAGTGATAAATTCTCAAAAAACAAATCTCAGTGCAGGGGAAAATGTTGTTACTCTTAATTATACGAAGATGCACTTTAGCAAGTAACCCTTTGCCTGCAATGGATACACATGAGGGTAGGGCTTTACTAGAAAAATGCTTCTTCATTTAAGCACATACAGCCAATGATTTTGATTTTGTCAAGTTAGGGTTTTGTCTGCACCACAAAAACAGAAAGCACCCGAATTAGCGACAGGAGCAGTAAATCAGACTGGCATCAGGTGCTGAGGTAGGAAGTTCCTTCACTCCCCCAAGTTTTGTCAACAGCAAGGATGGAAAAGTTGATTAAGTTCAAATGAGAACACCTGCCTCATGCACAGCTCCCCTGTGTATGTAACACAGGTATGACAAAGCAGGTATGATATGAGATACCTCTTCCCAGTACCAACACAAAAGAGGAAAGCCATGGTCTGCTACAGTGAGTGGAGGGTCTGCATCTCCTCCAACAGAAAATGCTGACTTCAGAGATGCCACCAAGATGACTGCTTGGAGGCCAGCAAGGCCACAATCACAGAATCACAGAATTGCCAGGGTTGGAAGGGACCTCAAGGATCATGAATCTCCAACCCCCCTGCCACACGCAGGGCCACCAACCATCCCACCTAATGCTAGACCAGACTGCCCAGCGCCTCATCCAATCTGGCCTTGAACACCTCCAGGGATGGGGCATCCACAACCTCTCTGGGCAGCCTGTTCCAGTACCTCACCACTCTCTCCATAAAGAACTTGTAAAGAAGCTGGAGCACAGCTCTTCTCTGCAAATTTTGCCCTCCCCAATGGGAAAGTTTAGTCTTGCTGGGAGCCTGCATTTATCTTGTGGCTGGAGGAATTGCTCTGAACTGGAGACCAGTAAGTTAAACAATCTCCCCAGCTTGCCTTTGCGCTGCAAACATGTTACACAGTACTTCCATAGTTTGGGCAATAGTGAGGCTGTGTGTCATGTATTATTCCTGGCCATCTGGAACAAGCATTAACCACAAATAAGCAAATTTGCTTGTTCTTTACTGCAAAGAAAGAACTTTGCCAGAGCAATGCTTGCTTGTACCGATGACAGATGTTTCGGGCATGCTTGGGTACCAATGTGCATGCAAACCAGAAATCACCCTCCTCCGCCCTGAGGACCCGCCAAGTTTTGCAGACTGAGATTCTTAAATGCAAAGAAAAAAAAAAAAAATCTGTTTTTTTTAAGTTGACTCAAGTTTACTTTTTTCCTGGCTCTTTGGCCTGGTATCCCTATGGACCAAAGCTCACCCCATGGCTCCAACGCTCTCTGTCCTGCCAAGTTTTGCAGCGGCGGGCAGCTTGCAGGCGACACGCGGCAAGCAACCGTATGGCTGAGGTTGGAGGGACACACAGAAGCAAGACCCCCACCAACAGATCTGAACCAGTGCCTGGAAAAGTCCCCAGCCCCGGGGTTAGGGGCTTCCTACAGAGCCAGCCCATACCCGCCCGCACGCGTTCTCCCTCTCCTTTCATACACTCACACGTACACTCGGCCGCTCGCTTACTTTCAACCTCCCACGCAAAGCAGAGGACAAAATGAAATCAATAAATAACCACTGTTAGCTCCTGCATTTCCAAAGTAGCGAACAGGGATTTGAATACATGTAATTTCCATTAACCTCATTTAGTCAAAAACCATAACACCCTGGCCACTGCTCTACAAACGTCCAGGCTCACTGCAAGCCACCGGTGCTGGCAAGCCCCTGCTGTTTCTTTGCCCAGAACCAGGATTTTTTTTGTTATTCTTTTTTTTTTTTTTTCTAGCTGGGCAGCTGCTGTCCTTGAGTTTTCATTTCACTGCTGCTGTTCTCAATTACCAGCATTATTCAGAAGGGGGCTGTGGTCCAGAACCACCACCCTTGGGTGCCTGGGATTTCAGTAGCAGGCTGCTGGAGCACTCTGCACTTGGCTGCTAACCTATGTGCAACCCCACTTTAAAGCTGTCCCATTTCTCACAGAAGTTATCCTGAAAATGTGTGCCCCCACAGCCTCTGCTACCCAAGCAGGAGCAGGGAGATGTGTCCTACCCCATTTTTGACACTGTCTCCCATAACATCCACACAGGTTAACTTAGGAAGTGTGGGATAGACAAGTGGAGCATCTCCTGTATGAGAAAATGCTGAGAGACTTGGGCTGTTCAGCCTGGAAAAGGGAAGACAGAGGAAGATCTTACCAATGCCTGTAAATATCATCTCTGGAGATATTCAGAACCCTTATTATTATTGTGAACATATTATTATTGTATGTTTCAAGCCCTGATAATCAGTCAATACAAGGGAAACCAATTGCAATCTTCCTTGCCTTCATTCCGTGTTGCACTGAGCAGCTCTCCAAATTGCAGCACAGCAGCACATTGCCCTACAGTCGCACCCTGACTTACCCAGACTTCTGCCTGTGTATTTTTAGAGGCTGCTCAGAACTACAAGGAGACAAGGCAATTGTGCTCCTTTTTAGGAAATCCTTTTCAAGAATAGCAACTTATAATGGGAGCCCAGTGCAAAAGTAAGCACCCTTCCACAGGAAAGGGACTTTACAGCGGCCTTCAAAGCACTGAGGGACAAGGCAGGTAAAGTGTTTTGGGTTTTCCCTTTGTACTCATTTTCTCTTTCTGTCTACTGGAAAAGGGACTAAAATATATATATTTCTTTTTTATGACTAAACAATATTTTGTAATGAAAGAAAAACAGATGAGAAAGGAACGTGTACATATAACTTTCATGCAACCGAAAACCACACTTTACGTAAAGATGCTTTCATATGTGTTTGCTTCCTATGGAAAAAAAAACCTGTTCTCAACACTTACCTCAAAATGCTTTTGAACAAATGCCTTTTGTTTAAAGAAATTCAGCTGCATCTCAAGCAGCTTAGCACACGTATGGCCAAGAGCTGCTGGCAGAGACCTTTTTCCAGCACTGCATTTGCACGGCTTTCCTATACAGACTCCAGAGTTGGGCTCTTTCCTTGCTCCTCAGCGTGAGTGATGCAAAGTGTGGTTTTACTTCACAAATGGTTTGTTTACATCTACATCAAAGCAAAGCTCTCTTTCAGGTCACACCTAGAGACAAGCGAGCAAACCCCAAAAGCTGTATTTACACACAGAGATGCGCTTCCATCCACCTGGCTATAAGGAACAAGTCCATCTACGCAGCGTGGAACCAGTTGCACAGGACAATACGTGCCTCTGTGCACAGCTGCCTAGCAGAACAGTTTATGAAAGCTCATGCACTCTGTCCTCAACCATCTGGCTTGGGCTTACCAGTGTCCAGTCCAAGCCGTGCTTACGCACAACCCTTCCCTCCAACAGAACATGGAAGGATGTCTTTTTTAACACTTTTTGCAAGGCCACCTGTTTTCACAAACCCTCCCAGAGTTTGAACCTTGGGGATATCTTTCTCCCTTGTTGCCCTTTGCTCAGGGTGAAGCTGGCCGGCTGGGAGAACACAGCAGAGCCCTGTGCACAGCAGTGCTGTGATCACACTACAAACCACTCCCCATAGGGCAGAGGTGCAGGTGAGGTCTGTTCACAGCACACATCTGTGCCCCCACACACCTCTCACCCCCAGCTTTCCCTCGCATAGCATGAGATCTGCCACCCTAAAAATAAGTTCCCCAGCAGACAGCTGATCCCCACACAAAAGACCCTCCATATCCCAGGAATTCCACAGGGCTGACAAGCAGGGGAGCAGTCCCACTTTTTGTTCCCAGCCCTGAATACCGCTGTCAGCCTGTCCATCTGTCCATCCCCCAGCATCCTCGCAGCTGAGCTCGCTGCAAGCCCAAGCAGCCCCCGTGCTGGCGGCTCCAGGCTGTGGTGGGGGTTAACAGATATCAGGGCTGTACAAGTGCCACCTGCTTTGGCCAGTCACTGCCGCAGTGAGCCTGGTGTGGATGGATGGAGGGCCTTAGCAATCTGCTAAATGCCTTGTCTCAGCCTCACGTTACCCATATGCACTGCAATCCTGCTCAGAGCAGCTCTCCAGCCACAGTCCCTGCTCATGCCTGCTGGCACAGGGCTGGCAGTGGCATCAGGACGGCACAGGCACTACTGACACCGAAGGCCTTTGTTGTCTATTTATACCCTGCCCCCTGGAAGCAGCTCACTGGCTGCAGTCCCTCCGTGCCTTGTCACTCCTCACTTTGCAAACTGGCTCCCAACAGCCCCACTGCTGCCATCTGGAGAGTTGCTCCCTTCTCACTTGCTCCTGTTTAAATAAAGCACCATTAGGCGTTCAGATCACATTGTCTGGTTAAAAGGCAGGGAAATACACTTCTTATCAAAGACCTAATAGCAGGCTACTGACCCCAAGATCCCAAGCATTACCTTCGTATTGCTCCTGGCATGCTGAAGTTCATGCCTCCTGCTACACAGGTGGATACTAGGGGCAGGGCTCTGAACAGGACTCATTGCAATAACACAAACACACGATGCAGCCATTAGAATAACCGACTTACATATACCCCATAAAGGAATTTCTCTATCATTACCCTCCTTTTTCAGAAGGATTAGATAACCCCAATGCTGCTGAATGAACTCAAAACCCTTGAGCTCTCAAAGAGCACCACAAGCTGTGATGAATCCATGGATGAACATAGCCTGTGCCATATGGGTGACACTATCTCCTTTCACATCCTCCTGATCCTTTATGGTTTTTCTACTCATATCTTAAGGGACTCCCCAAAACCCACATTCTTCAAAACCATGAGACAGATATTTGGATCAGACCAGGGAAAATGCCTGAGGAAGAACGTGGTGCCCAGCAGAGATCCTCTGGATACCCTACTGGGGACAAGCCCTCTGCTAACCCCCAGCCCCATTTCTTCCCATCCTAGCGATTGGGACAGCAGACAGACACCCAGAGAGACTGACAGACAGGATTTATTTATGAGCAGTGCATGTCTGTGCAGCCCAGGGATCCTCCAGCTGTCTCTGGAGCCACTAACAAAGCCACAAGGCGAGGAAGTGTCAGCTGGGGCTGGGGGAGCTGGGTCATGTTGCAGAGGAGGGGACCAAGAAGAAGGAGGACCATGGCAGGTGATGGATGTGGCACACAGCAGGTGTCCTTCCTGATGCAATTTTGGGGCTACTGCTGCTGCATGCACTTGGGAAATCAAAGGATGGAAGGAAAACAAGCAAGTTCCCAGATGACAGAGACCCCTGTAGAAGGGCCACCCCAACCTGACCCATCTTCCCTGCCCATTTGGATGCATCCAACCTTGGTCACTGCACCCAACTACCCCAGCCTGGCCTCCAGCTGCAGCTCGCAGTGGGACACATCCATGGGGTGGAGCAGCAGTACTTTGCTCCTCAGAGCCAGGACACGAAGGTAAGGGAAGCTCTTGGGGACCTTGTCATCACCAAAAAGCAGAAGCACAAAGCAATATAGCCCCAAACTCCTCACCCTGAAATGCAGCCAATGCCACATCTATCCCAGGGATGCCAGGAAGAGCCCAGTGAGAGCAAACATGCACATGTTGCTGGTAAAGCTTTGAGGACCGTATTGTTTACTAAAGCATTGCTCCACAGGCCCCAAAGGACTTATGGGAATGAAGGAAGCAAGCACTGGTTTCTGCTTTCCTCAAACAGATTGCTCAGTGGCACCAAGATCTAAAGAAATCACCGTAAAATGCAATCCGTTTGCTATTTGTGCTATTCTCATTAATTTCTTCCCTGGAATTTGGGGTTTGCCCTCCATGGGAGGCTGTTTTGTGCAGAACCTGGGAAGTTCCAGCTCTTCTCAGCAGCTCAGCTGGCCCTACATCTTGAGCTCACCAAGCTCTCTGGAGGATACTCCATTTTGCTGGGCTCCATCTCCCACCTCTGGGCTAGTTTTTGGGCAAAGCCTAAGCACGGCTCTCCAGCAGACCTGGGTCCAATGGTTCTCCTGCCAACATGTTTTTTTCCCCACACAGAAGAAAAGTGACAGCTGACCTCCTGCCTGAACAGCTACATGGCAGCCTGGGGACAGTACCTGCATCCCTGCACGTTTTGAAAGCGCTCACATGCATCAAGGGGCTGCAAGAAGGCTGTTGCCCTGTAAAGTTTCTAAAAGTTTTTCATGCACACAGAAAGAGAAACCATAAGGACATGAAAAAATATAAAAGAAAAAAAGAATAACCACATGCATTAGTGATGTGTTGTGTGAGACAAAGGAGCCCTAAAGAAACATTACATCTTGGTGTGCCACCACAAGTTGCTGCAGCTCCCCAGGTAGGTTCTTCTGTCCCTATTACTCCCACATCTCCAGTCCTCAGGAGCAGGCAGGAAACTTGGCCCCAGCTTCAAAAAGCTGCTGGCATCTCCTGGAAAGAGGCTCCTTCCTCAAGAGAGAGGCAAGAGCGTGCTGGGGCAGTGAGCCAGAGGTAAGCACAGCTACTACTATCACCTGCTGCCCTAGGCTGGCCCCATCCTTCTGTGATGGCCCCTCCTGACTGCAGAGCCAGCATATTTGCTAGGAGGAAACCATCAGACAGCATTGTTTGTTCCCCCTCACTAAAAAAATAAAAATCTCAGCCATCCCTCCATAGTGCCGTGTGGCCAAAGCGCTCAGGTTGCCATCCCCCAATGATGGCACCCACAAAGGCACTTCTGATGGCCCATGCCAGGGCTAGGAGCTGCCCGCCTAAGTGTCACTGCAGTATTTATATCCTTTTATTATGCTTTAAGCCCCTCTGGAGAAACAGGTGCAGGGCTGCTTGCAAAACAGCAGCCAGTGGCATCTCCCTATTATGGGCACACACATGCAGGGGGACAGGGGCGGGTCTTACAAATCCTCACTGAGTGCTGAAGCCATGGGTGACAGCAGCCCCTGGAGGAGAATACACGCTCCCTTCCTCCTCCCACACCAGCACACACAGAGCACGTGGGATCTGCTCCCCTGCAGAATGTTTCCTTCAGAGAAAAGCTCTTTTAGACACTACCCAGACCAATCCTACCTGTGATGCTAGGAGCTCCCCTTCTTCCTGCCTGGGAACAGGGTGCTTTGTGCCTTCCCTTGGGGGTTCCCAGGGAAATCCTTCACATCCTGGAACAGCACTCTCCTGCCCAACAGAAGGTCAGGAAATGTAGAGAAAGGTGCTCAGGCTGACTCAGCCTTAAAACACATTGCATTCAGGTGGTGCCACTCTGACGAGGACAAGACCAGGTGCAGCTGTAGAAGGTGTATTCGGCTCTATACCTGCTATTTTTCCAGTCACTGGGAGTCAATATTCCCAGTGTCCACATTGTGCCTATCACCAATCCAAGGGCCACAGCAAGAGGACATGAAGCGCAAATGGGCTCTCGTACAGCAGAGGTTACATGGGTCAGCACAGCAGCAGCTGGCTTTGAACATTCCAAATATCCCTGACCTCATTGCAAGTTCTGGGCACCTCTCATTGCCGACAGTTCAGCTCTGCAGATCTATAAAACATCTGGCTCAGCAAGGGGGGGACCCCATTCTGGATGTCACCACCACAGGGAAGACACTTCCTCTCCCTCCACAAAGGTCGGGGAGCCAGAGGGAAATTTATGTCCTTCCCCTCCTAAAACTCTTCTCCAGATGGATCTCCAGCACTGGAATTTTTTTTTTCCAGGAGGAGGAGGGAGGAGAGGAAAGGAGATGGGCAAGGGCACGACTGCAGGTCATGTTCCGCTCCTGGCAAATGCATCAAGCAGAGAAATGGCCTGGTGGCTCCTCCAGCATCTGCAGGTCACCTCCCCAAGGTGTCCCAGCCTTGCTCAGGAGCACATGGACCGCACTGACCCACCTGAGCAGCCTATGACATTCAGCATGGATGCTGAATGCTGGGAGCCACCAGTGGCACACGCACAGCTGCCCCACACCCACAGGGACACCTCAATGGGAAGAATTGATGGTGATGAGGGCTGTCCATCGGGCCGCATGCTGGCCCCACAGATTGATGGCCTCAGCGACGGGCTGTGCACAATGGCCAAGTTCAGGCTGCGGTGGCCAGGAGCTGAAAGGCAACGGCCATAAATAAGCTGGGGGAAAGGGAGGAGGCAGAAGGCTGGCAGGGAAGGATAAATAAATACACTGTGGGGAGAGATGCTGCTGTGGGGTGGCTGATTTGGGATGATGCTACTTATCCAACAGCCCTGAGACATTCCCCCACCTTCTGTCATCCCCTTCCCATCCAGCTGCAGAGGAGTCACATCACACATCCCCCAAAATACAGAAAGAGTCTCTGCACAAGGGATTTTAGGGTCATCATCACACCATTATCAGCACAGCTCTTCCCCCTAAAACCTTTAAATCTCAGGGGATTTTCCATGGCCAGCCAACACTCACTGCCTCCCAAAGCACCAACACTGGCTCCCTAGTGTTGGCCACCAGGGGACTTAGGGGGAGCAGGGAGCATGGAGCCAGACACTTCCCACACTGACCCCATCTGCTTCCCTGGTGCCGGTTGCTCTTCTCCAAGCTAAATAAGCCCTTTGCATTTGTTGTGGTCTCCTCTCTCTTTCTCTCCCCTCCGCTGCTCTGTCAAGGCAAACCTTGTCCAAAGAGCTGCTGTGATTTACAGCACTGCTAACAAATGTCGGAGCCAGGGAGCCGTGCTGGAGCCGCTGGCTGGCAGCCTGCCTGGACAAACACACTAAAAGTCAACCCCAGTGTGGATACTTGAGGAATTAGTGTCCATACAAAGATGCATTAAACACAGGGAGAAAAATGGGCATTTCTTTACAACGTAGGGCTGAAAGGCTCCTCAGGGCTGGTTAACATATGTTGCATCTCCCTGCACCTGCCCTGCAGCCCCTTGCTGTCCATCTCTGTCCCTGTCCCCAGTCCCACGCACAAGCATCCAATGAGCACTGCTCTGCTATCAGCATTTGCCAAGGGCCTTCTCATTATACGAGGGCCTTCGCCTCGTTTTGGGGTTAACCCCCCCTCCAGCATCTTCTGCTCTGTGGATTTGTCCATTCCCTGCCAGGAGAGGCAGCTCAGCCTTGTAACGCTCCTTGTCCAATGCCAAATTTCCAACAGACCAGGAAAAGTATGCAGAAAAATATCATGTCCTAAAATATAAAAAAAGAAATAAGTAGCCTCTGGGGCACTTAGTCGAACACAACATTTTTCCCAAGCAAACCTATTCCCATACACGCGCGGCTGTACGCCGCAGCTCTGGAAAGGCCATTATGCAAACTGATGTGCTGTAAATCTCCTGCATTAAAGGGGGATACCGCAACCCACGGTAACCCGGCAGCTCACGGATCACCACGCTGCCCCAGCGGACAGCCTTACCTTATTTCACCTTAATATGTCTCATCTCCAAAGCACAACTCCTCACCCACCAGGAGATAGGTGAAGGATGGAAGCCTCCCCTTTATCAATGCATGGAATGTGGGCTGGTTTTACTCTGGCCACGCAGTACCATCCATGCCAAAACCCAACTGTCATACACTAGGCACCCAGTTGGCCATGACCGTGCCACCCAAGAGACGCCCTACAAAGCCAGCATGGAGATCCTCCAGCTGGGATGGGAAATGGAAAAAGCAGCACTTTTTCATGCTGCAAGAGTCACCAAATAGGGCCAGCGCCAAGGGCTGGGCTTGAACCCTGCCTGCAGCAGGTACACAGAAAGTTCCTGTTTGTTCCATATGGGATCACCATGAATGGCCCTGCCGCACATCATAACTCGGGATTTTATTAGCCCCCAGCCGCAGTGATTCCAGGAAGCTCTAAAAAGTCACTTTGATTCTCAGGCTCTGTTTTTTCTTTGGGAATTAAAATACCTTTCATCATCGCTAAGAACGCAGAAGAGTTACAGAAAAAGGGTGGGGTAAGAAATTAAAGTAATTAGGGGGAATGGCTGGAATGTGCCAGGCCTCTTTGGGCACATCCTCACGTGGGGACAAGACTTGATCCAGCTCTGGCAGGGCAGGAGCATCCCTTGGGGCTATGGTGACTTCCCTATATGGGTCATGGGTGGTGGGAGCCCTTCCCCATGGCCATGGGGACCTTGGGGCCAGGAAGCATCTAAATCAGGCAGTGCTGCAGCACGCAGCAGCTTCCTGCCTGGCCCCGCAGGAAAGGAACCAGTGAGTGAACAACAGTGTGGCCAAAATGAAGGTAGTCCCCTGAGCCAGTGGGTTCATTTGGAATGCCAGCGTGGGTGTAAAAAATGGCAGCTGGGGACCTGGAGGAAAAATAAACAGGTTGTGAATAGAGAGTCCTGGAGGCCTGATGGCTCATATGATCATAGAATAAGGTTGGAAAAGCCCTCTCAGCTCACCTAGCCCAACCCCAGCCCACCCCCACTGCCCATGCCCCTCAGTGCTGCATCTCCATGGCCCTGCAACACCTCCAGGGACAGTGACTCCACAGTGAATTCATAGAGCTGTCTGCAGATCAGAGCCCATCATGAGAATCATGGCCAAGTTCAGGGGGAAAAAGGAAAGAATACAAACTTAGGTCACACCTTTCCTCAGCTCTGTTTCCAGAAACAAAAATATCTTGGAGTGGAAGCTGTGGGCTGCAACTCCGGTGCTGTCACCACACAGGAGTGCATCCAGGGCTTCTGCATCTACCAGGCTCTGCTGTGTTTATCTGTGGCTCCAAGGGGACCCCACAGACAGGGCTGCACGCTGGCAAGCATCTCCCCAAACCTACGTGTCTGCAGAGTGGGGAGGATGCCAGGGAAATACACCGTGCAAGCATCTGTCTGTCCGTACAGTTCTGAATCTGTCTGTGGGGACACGGGGCACTTCCACACTTCCATTTGCTTCTCATCGAGGGATATCTGGTCGTGCCAGCACAGCAAAGCTGCACTCGGCTTTGGTGTATGATGAATTTGGGCAGGCAACAGGAAGCCTCTTCGCAGCCTGGGAGGCACCAGGCTGGAGGAAAACAATACTGGCTGCTGAACACTCGGGGCCCGGGTGCTTTTTTTGTAGAAAGTAAGAATAATGGATGTTTACTTGCAGGAAAGCTAGGAGCGGAAAAAGTTATCAACTCCATTGTTTGCCACAAATAATTTCACCTTATCCAGTCATACGGTGCATTTGGGGAAAAAAAAATCCCACAAAAAATTGTTATTTCGTGTCACTCAGTGCCTTACCATGGAGGCAGCACCATCTCCTGGCCGAGCTCCCTGCACTGAGCTTGTAATGCCCCAAAGCACTGACCCACATCTCACCTGCAGGGGTTGGCAGTGGGACCTTTGTTTTTTTGGGCATCATGGAGTACAAAGAGGGGACACACAGCCACCAGCTGGTTCTGGAAGGAGGGCTGATAAATGGCTGCACCGTGCTGCCTGAAGAATTATTAACACTGGGAAGGCTGACACCTTGGCTTTATCCATACAGCTGGGTCCGGGGCAGTAGTGGGGTGTCCACTGCTTCTCCCTGACAGGTTTATGACCACAATGCTGGGGGGGTAAATCATTGCCAGAGCCACAAGGCTGAGAGATCCCTAATGCAGGGGGCTCCTCACCACAATCACCCCAAGCCCACGTGCTTGTTGGGTTGGTGCAAACCACAGCCATCCTCTCGCTGTCTCTCCAGTTCAAAGAGAGTGGGATGGAGCCGAGCACTAAGTTCCAGGCTGGCCCCAACCCTTGTCCCCTTTGTGCCTCCTTTCCCCAAGACCCCCCAGGGGCTCCAGGTGGCCACAGCACAGCATCAAGTATCGACCTGGTGTTATCAGCTCCCACTTTATCAGGAAGGGGCCCCTTCACGCCAAGCACCTGCCCCATCAATCTTCCCCCGTCCCTCAGTGCAAGGACCCAGCTGGGGACGGAGCACAGCAATGGGGACGAGCTGTCCGCTTGTCACAGGCTGGCACCTGAAGGCTTCACGAGTGATGGACGGGCACCAGGTTCTGGCTGCAGACATGCCTTGATTTGCTCTTCTGTCTCACACTACAAAGTCTCCCCACTGCCCTCCCCATCGAGTGCAGCCCTGGCCCAGACGGGCGGCGTTCCCCCTCGCACTGCTCGGGATCCCCTTTCAGCTATCGCTTTTTGTATCAATTTTAAAAGGGGGCACTGTGGCTTTAAAGAGATTCCCAGACTTGCCTTTGTGACCGGAGGAGAGGGTGG